CACCTAGAACAGGGCTCCTGCATATGAGGAGGTGTACCCTTCCTAGGAAATTGACTAGTGACTTAAACAAGATAACTCAAAGCAGAAGTACTACTGCTCCCAGCATAGATTTCTACCAGAAATATATGTAGTCACACCAATATATATATTTATAATGCAAGCTTTATATAGATCAAACAGATAATGTTACATACGATACAAACACGAACATTCAGGAATGACAAATAAAATGATCATATGTCCTATAAGAATGGTGCACCTATACCCGGGTATATATATATATGCAGTCACTTTATTTGGATACCTCCAAATGTGGATTGCAGCATAGTCCAGTTGCAGGGGCCCCTGGTGAGATTATATTTAAGGCAGAGTCCAATCCAGCTTGAGAAGACGCAATGCTGGAGCAGCAGCAGATGAATGCACTTCTTGAGGAGACCATCTGGAATGCGTCACCTATAAAGTAAAACAGACCTGTCTATTCTATCTCTTGGTCCCTGTTCTAATTCTAGGCTATCAATACAACCGGGCCTCTAACTGTCTAAGCGGCCATCGGATGCCTAACCTACCTCTACCCTATAATGTTTACTGTTCGCTAAGCTAACACTAGCTAAGGAATTCCAAACCAAAAAGGGTGCTATTCCTTTAAATAATAACACTGCAAGTGTTCACTGCAACAACAGAAGATTCACCTGATAAGACCTAGTCAGGTGAATTTAACTCTTATACAGCTGAGAAATCACAATTATCCTGCAGTATGCAAATAGCTCAATGATAGTGAATCAGAGATACCTCTGACAGGAATCTCAGGATTCTCGCACAGGAGTCATGGCAACATAATAGAAAGTGAAACTACACAGTGCAGGAACACTTGCCTAATATATCTCCTTTTTGGTTTGGATGAACTCAGCACAGAATCAGCATGCAGTATTTCTCAGCTCCACAACATATGGCATGAGGGCACACACACTGAATATTACCTCACGAAAAGACCATATATCTAACTGTGGGGTTTCCTAACCTTTTAGCAGGGGCAGGAAGCATATCCTATGAAAAGGAAGAATCTGTTTGTAACAGAACTCTATGGTAGTGGATAACATTAATGTAAACAAAACCACAGAAAGTGTATAAAAGAACAGTTCCCTACAAGTACTTCACTGATGGAAGCAGCTTTGTAAAGGATGGAATCTGCTATGCTGGCTACGCTGTAGTGACACGGGAAACCGTGATAGAGGCAGGAGCCTTACCACAGGGAACCTCTGCACAGAAAGCGGAACTAATCGCTCTAATAAGAGCATTACAACTAGCTGCAGGACTAAGACTGAATGTTTATGTGGACTCTAAATATGCCTTCCTAACCCTGCATGCTCATGGAGCCCTGTATAAGGAAAGGGGGCTCATTACATCCGGAGGGAAGAGCATGAAATACGGAACAGAAATACTAGAACTCTTGGAGGCAGTGTGGGCCCCCTCAGAAGTTGCAGTGATACACTGTAGAGGCCATCAAAAGGGGGACTCCTAGGTGGCTAGAGGCAACCGAAAAGCAGATCAAGCAGCCAAGAAGGCTGCGCTCTAGGGACCCTCACGAGAAAATATGTCCCCTCTATTCCCAGTACGACTCTCCCAATGGGATCCGGTCTATACAAAGGCAGAACAGGAATGGATAGAGACTGAACCTGGAAAGTACAGAGAGGATCAATGGTATCAACTCCAGGACGGGAGAATTGTCATCCCAGCGGTTGTGGCAGCTGAATTGGTGACAGAATTCCACAAAGGGACACATATGGGCAAGACAGCCATTGAACGAGCCCTGGGGAGATACTTCTATATCCCCCGACTGCCCACACTGGCACAAGCAGCAACCAATAGATGTGTAGAGTGTGCCCGAAATAACCCAAGACAAGGGCCTGTACAAATCCCCGGAATACAAGCTGTAAGAACCTCACCAATGGAAGACTTAATGATTGACTTCACTGCCATGCCCCCCTCCGGAGGATACAAGTATCTGCTGTTGGCTGTCTGCACCTACTCTGAATGGGTAGAAGCCTGCCCCACACGAACTGAGACTACCAGAGAAGTGGTTAGATGCCTGATCCAGGAGATTATCCCCAGATACGGAATCTGCTCCTCCATAGGTTCCAACAACGGTCCTGCCTTCATTCACAAGTGCCTTCAGGAATTAGCAACAGAACTCAAGATCACTTGGAAGCTACACACCGCATATCGGCCTCAAAGCTCGGGAAAAGTTGAACGGATGAATCGCTCCCTGAAATTGCAACTGTCAAAACTCTGTCAGGAGACCCAAATTAAGTGGACCTTGATGCTGCCTATTGCCTTGCTGAGAATCCGGAGTACACCAACAAAGAGGACAAATCTGTCCCCTTTTGAAGTACTCTATGGGAGACCCCCACCCATAATAAAGGGCATAAAGGGAGACCTACACCAGATAGGGAGTATATCCATGAAGTGTTACAGAAACTTGGGGAAAGCATGCAGGAGATAGGGAAATGGGTTCAAGAGAAGCTCCCTATAAGCATGTCCAACCCAGTCCACCCTTTTGTACCCAGAGATGTAGTTTGGGTAAAAGAGTGGAATTTAACTCCCTTGGGCCCCAGATGGAGAGGTCCTTTCACTGTTCTGCTATCTACCCCCACAGCCATAAAGGTAGCAGAGGTGACCCCCTGGATACATCACTCCAGGGCAAAGCGAGCCGCTGACCATACAGACTCCTGGCTGAGTATAGCGGACCCACAAGACCCCTTAAAGCTAAGACTGACCAGAGAGATCAGAGGGAAGAACTACAGCCCTGCTCCCAACACACCCCTGGAAGCTGTTGGGCCAACGCACGGCTGAAGCAGTGGACACAACTGATATCTACAGCCCTGCTCCCAACACACCCCTGGAAGCTGTTGGGTCAACGCATGGCGAAAGAAGTGGATACATCTGATATCTACAAGCTCTGCTCCAGTCACACCCCTGGAAGCT